GCCCAAAATATGACAAACATCATGCATCATGATGGTCATCTCCCCAAACGGGAAATGAAATGAGTTGGTGTCCGGCTGCCACCTCTCAACAAATGCACTCACTAAGCCAAGATCAATATCTTCATACGAGGTATGAAGAAGGTGACCCAATCTAGTCCCCCAAATCTTGCCTTTCACTACATCATCCATATCTTTATACCACATCTTCAACTTATTCAGAATCTTTTCACCTTTAAAAATCTTCTGGGTTTATTGTATACATGTCAGAAATGATAAGCAATATGCCCAAGGAATCTAGGAACCACGCTACCATCTTTCGGCCCACTAGGTACTTCATCTGTCACTAGCCATATAGTCGGATCAATTTCATCAGAAACTTTCTACTGGCTGCTGGCGCTTGTACCATGAATGAGTAAACCAAATATTATTTATTATATTTTATTCACATATAACAATTCAATAAATATAATTGAAAAAAATTAATTAAAAATAATTAAATAATTTTAAATAATTACAATAATTAAATATAGATATTTGGTACCTGATGATGCAATAGTAGTAACTGGACGTGTAGATACTCCAGTGGATCCGGGACCTCGGCTAGGGCACACGGGATCAATGAGAGGGGGAGGACGTGTAGATACTCCAGCGGAGACGGGACCTCCGCGAGGGGGCACGGGATCATGTGGTGGAGGGATGCCTGAGCGGGGCGGGAGGGACGAGGCCGACTACCGATGGACATACCCTGTGGGAATTGACCGGGACGCGGGAAAGAGGGACTATAATGTGGACTGCGCCACTCACCACTCATAGGAGAAAGGATAGGGGTAGGGGGAGAGGGTATACCGCCAGGACCAGGCCGTGGACAACTGCAGTAGCAGGGAGGAGGGTAACTACTAAGATTATACATAGGCGTATCTCTGTGATGCGCACCCATCCTAACACTGTCCTGCACATCATCCTCATCAAACGCATTCTCCTCATCCTCCTCGTCCTCATCCTCCTCTTCCAAGTCGTCCTGAGAATACTCGGGTACATAAATCAGCTGACTAGACCGAGTCTGAAACGATACACCACCCATATTGACCTGAGTAATTGTCATTAGCTTCTTTAACTCATTTTCCTCTTTTTTCTTCCTACGACTCATGGTCAGATAACGCGCACGAACCTTACGCTTACTAGTATCTTCAGTATCACTAGTATCACTATCATCATCATCATCACAATAAACCTATAAACAAAATTTTATTCATCATCATCATATTTTCATAGTCTAAACAAATAATTATACACATTTCCTAAATCCTAAATAGTTTAATAATTAAGTACACTTTGATTAAACGTACAATTCATATAATAATTAAGTAAACTAAAGTACTTTACCAAATTTTTTATTAAATTACTATTAATTATAATTAATCCAAAATACTCAACTATTTTACAAAATATTTATATTAATTGAATTACTCATAAACTACATTACAAACAAATTAGATTAGTTTTACTAACCTACTATTAATTAAATTAAAAATATAACCTAAATACATTAATAACTATTTAAATTAAATAATTTAATCAATTAAACTAATTAAGTAGTGAACTAATCTACTATTAATTAAATTAGTTTTTAAAATTCAACTAATTTACATAATATTTAAATTAATTTAATCAACTAAAATGATTAACTTTACTAAAAAACTAAATAATTATATTAAAAATATAACCTAAATACTTTAATAACTATTTAAATTAATGAGTAAATCAATCAAACTAATTAGGTAGTGAACCAATCTACTATTAATTAAATTATTTTTTAAAATTCAATTAATTTACATACTATTTAAATTATTTTACTCAATTAAAATGATTAATTTAATAATGTACTTATAATTAAATTAAAAATATAACCTAAATACTTTAATAACTACTTAAATTAAGTAATTTAATCAATTAAACTAATCAGGTAGTGAACTAATCTACTATTAATTAAATTAGTCTTTTAAACTCAACTAATTACAAACTAATCAAATTAAATTATTTACACAATTAAACTAAATAACCAACTAATAGAGAACTTCAATGTAAATCACAAACTATTAATTAATAAATAACTACATTATAACCCTAATTACATTAAATTAAACGTAATTAAACACTAATAATGAATTAAAAAAAAATTTAAAAAAAAAACATTCTGGCTGCCGGACGCCTTCCATGGCCGTCCGGCGGCCACACACAAAAAAAAAAAATAAAAAAATTCTACCAGTCGGACGGGCATGAAAGCCGTTCGGCGGCTCGACCGGGATGCGTTTCAACCTGGAACGTGCGTTTTGCTCGTTCCGGGTTGAACCGGGACGCGCAAGAAAGTTGACACTATTTCAAAAGTAATTGAAAATTTTTTAAAGTTGTTTTGCTATTGAAAAAGGGGGTGGATTTTTGAAGTCACCAACTTTAGTACTCAAAGCCACGAAAAAAAATTTGAAACATTTTGCCCTGTCATTTAATACAGTAGAAAGAGAAAGAGAATGAGTAGGTAAAAATTTTTTTTAAAAAGAGTCTAAACCGAGCAAGAAAGCCGTCCCGGTTGAATCGAGGATGCGCAACAAACGCGTCCGGAGCCGGACGCGTTCATTGCGCGTCTCCGATTCAACCAGGACGCGTGTGTTGCGTATCCAGTCCGGGTGAAATCAGACCGGACGTGCAAAAAACGCATCCGGTTCAATGGCCGGACGCGTTTGTTGCGCGTCCCCGGTTCAACTGGGACGCACAGACCGGCGAATGAACGAGTTCCTTGGACCGGAACCGGGACGGCCCAATTCTGTGAACAATGTTTTTATTTTATTTTTAATTTCATGCATGTTATGATAATTTAATTAAGTTTTTCAAAAATATTATTATTTTATTTGTTAATTTAATTAGTTATGTTAAGTAATTTAATTAGTTGAATTTTATTTATTTATTTAGGTTTAATTAATTAGAAATAATATTTATTTATGGGCAAAATTAAATAATTAAGGAATTATTTAGAATAAGTATTTAATTAAGTATTGGAAATGCAATCAATTAATTAATTAATGAATTATAACTATTTAGGTAGGTATTGAGAAATTTAATTTACTAAATAATTTTGGATTAGTTGATTTTTTATATTTTTTATAATTTATCTTTTTACTGTAATTGTATGTTTTTTATTATTTATTATAATTGTATATTTTTTTAAATGATTGGAATACGTGTTTAATTTAATTTATTATAATGCAATTTTTTTGTGGTAATTTTATGTTTAATTTGCAGGATTCTTTCGAAGATTTTTGTGGCGATGGTGAAGATTACAGTATATTGTTTGCTACAGATGAGGAATTTTCGGAAAAGGATGATGATATTGCTTGGGTGAAAGGCATGGGCATGGCAAATGGTATGATAATAAACGTAGTTTCTGGCAAAAGAAAGAATGGTATTCTGATGGGATGTTGTAAAGGTGGAAAGGTGTCAGTTGATGATGATGAAAAATATGTCTCATCAGATTCGAAGACACAAATCACTGGGTATAAATTTAAGGTATATGTGCACTTAGTTGATGGAAAGTGGCGCATTCATGTGTATCCTGGTGAGTTTGGAATGCATAACCACGAGCTATTTGACAAAGATCATCCCACGAGGGTCCTTAGCGATGAAGTGAAACAGCTTATACAGAGTATGTCTAAAGATGGGTGCAGACCGTGTGGATGACGATGTCCTTTATACTAGACAGTTGATGAAAGAGTTGAACGAGTGTCCTAAGGCAGTATGACGCACGCTAAATAGGGCTCTCCACGATATTATGCATCCAGACTAGCGTGGGTTCAAACAACCCAAGGAGGTCAAGAGAAGGAATGGGCGGCTGAAGGGGGCTAAATCAAAGATAAAAGCAACACTTAATGTGTGGGATTACAGGGTCGACACTTAAGGAAAGTCGACCACAGTTACCAGCGATTCAAGTAAGAAGCGCCCCTCGTCTTCAGGTGGTCGTACAGATGCATCCATAGGTACATGTTAAGAAGTTATTGTTGCGTCCATATTTTATTTATAAACAATTGTTCCAAATAACAGTTGTTTCGTGCAATGTACAAATATTTTTGCGAGTGATATTTCACAGTATGATTGTTACGATCTCATTCCATGGCCCATTCGGGCATATATTACCAGTTATCTCGATGTTGGTGCCGATGGCAATTGTGGATTTTGCATTGTCACAAGTAACATGTATTTGTGCCAAGACAAGTGAGCGATGGCGAGAGAGGCAATTGCGACCGAGGTAGAACAGAATTGGCATCTGTACAATAGAATCTACGAGTATAAATACTTTTCATTTTTTATGTTATGATGTTTGGTGAACTTGGCAGTATTACACAAATAATTGTATATGTAAATGCAGGACGTCCTGGCAGGAAGAAGTCAGTCGTATACGGTGGAGTGGACAGGGTTTCGCACTTGAGCGCCATTGGATGTGTGCGACGGACTTTTTCATAGTTGCGACTATGAACAATGCAATTGTATACTATTACGGTGCAGGAGAAGAGAACCAGTCACTAAACACCTCATGTTGGACTATACTACCTATCACTGCACGCGGTGAGGGAACATGTCCGGCATATCAGATTGGGGTATGTCACCTTGGTATTTACAAGCACTTCATTCGGATAAATTTGGACGGTGACTTTCCAGTTCCAACGATCAATAATCGGTGGACTAAGGAACACGATCCTAGCGTTGTTGGTTGGGAATTACCACTTCTTTCTAGAATTCAAGATTGGTATAGGTTGGTCCCCTCTAATCTTCGACGACCCGTGAATAATGATAATGATTACATTGATCTTAGTTTCTTAGATTAGATCCATGTTGGTTTGTTTGTTGTGATGATGATAATGGTATTATCTAGCATATAATTTGTTTTTTTTTTATGTATTGTGCAATAACATACCCCTATGATGTCACCGAAATTGTAGCGCCTCAAGCCCAAATTAATACACGCTGACTCCGGGAATCTCCTCCAAGTACTGAGTGTCAACAGCAGAATGCTCTACAAAGTACTGGATAGTCCTGGGTCCTCGGAATGCATCATCAGGGGACATGGGCGAACGAGGAATACTCTGTACGTAGCCAATCTGACATATACATCTGTCCGGCATGTATGGCTCCTGCAAGTTCCTATACATTATCCACCCACTGTAGATAGTCCTCGGAACTATTTCTTGTTGGTCAAGTCCAAATGGCTCCCACTTTACCTGTAAAATATTATTTAGACTATTTATAAATATAAATTTCAACAAAAAAATGAAATACAGTCAAAGGAAGCTAGATGTACCTCTAACTCAGTGAAACGGTCGAGACACTCCCTAACCTGACGAAGACGATCTGGCACAGATGTCGGCCCCGCAAAAGATGGTGGTATCCAGTCATGTACTCTGGGCCTGTCATTACCCCCACGGGTAACTCGCCCTCCCTGGGGGTGGAAACACGGGAAATACTTGTAAATCCAGGCCTGCAGTAGGGTCAAATAACCACCTAACTGAGTGCACTTTGCCCTACTAGTCCCTAACTGACGGTATAGGAACATAAGCGTAACAGAGCCCCACGAGTATGAACCCATATTTTCGATCCCAGCCATCAGCTCATGTACAAGTGAAACACTGCACCTCCCACCACTCTTGCCCATGAACAATGTCGAGGCTAACAATACCCACAAGAAAGCAGAGGCCTGGGTATTCTCGTCCGCTTTTTGGCATCGCTCAAGGATGAACCAATCAGAGACACCGCCATGACTCCATTTGTAATCATTCAAATCCAATCCAAGTATCCCTGCTGCATGTGCCCTCAACACATCTGTCTCGGACGTACCTGACACCAGCTCTCCATCAACCCCAATGCCCCAAATATGATAAGCATCATGCATCATGATGGTCATCTCCCCAAACGGGAAATGACATGAGTTTGTGTCCGGCTGCCACCTCTCAACAAATGCACTTACGAAGCCAAGATCAATATCTTCATACGAGGTATGAAGAAGGTGACCCAATCCAGTCCCCCGAATCTTGCCTTTCACTACATCATTCATATATTTATACCACATCTTTAACTTATTCAGAATCTTTTCGCCTTTAAAAATCTCCAGGATGGGTCTATTATATCCATGCCAGAAATGATAAGCAATATGCCCAAGGAAGCTAGGAATCACGCTACCATCTTTTGACCCACCAGGTACTTCATCTGTCACTAGCCATAGAGTCGAATCAATTTCATCAGAAACTTTCGATTGGTTGCTGCCACTTGTACCATGAATGAGTAAACAAAATATTATTTATTATATTTTATTCACATACAACAATTCAATAAATATAATTGAAAAAAATTAACTAAAAATAATTACATAATTTTAAATAATTATAATAATTAAATATATGTATTTGGTACCTGATGATGCAATAGTAGTAACTGGACGTGTAGATATTCCAGTGGATCCGGGACCTCGGCTAGGGCACACGGGATCAATGAGAGGGGGAGGACGTGTAGATACTCCAGCGGAGATGGGACCTCCGCGAGGGGGCACGGGATCATGTGGTGGAGGGATGCCTGAGTGGGGCGGGAGGGACGAGGCCGACTACCGATGGATGAACGATGTGATAATTGACCAGGACGCGGGAAAGAGGGACTATAACGTGGACTGCGCCACTGACCATTCATAGAAGAAGGGATAGGGGTAGGCGGAAAGGATAAACCGCCAGGACCAGGCCGTGGACAACCAAACAGGGGAGGAGGGTAACTACTAAGATTGTACATAGGCCAATCTCTGTGATGCGCACCCATCCTAACACTGTTCTGCACATCATCCTCATCCTCCTCTTCCAGGTCGTCCTCAGAATACTCGGGTACATTAATTGGCTGACTAGATCGAGTCTCAAACGGTACGCCACCCATATTGACCTGAGTTATTTTCATTCGCTTCTTTAACTCTTTTTCCTCTTTTTTCTTCCGACGACTCATGATCAGATAACGCGCACGAATTTTAGGCTTACTAGTATCTTCAGTATCACTAGTGTCACTATCATCATCATCATCATCACAATAAACCTATAAACAAAATTTTATTCATCATCATCATATTTTCCTAGTCTACTAAACAAATAATTATACAAATTTCCTAATCCTAAATAGTTTAATAATTAAGTACACTTTGATTAAACGTACAATTCATATTAAACGATATCCAGATTAGGCGAGTATCCCACTGCAGACCAATATCCAGATCGAGTTTCTTCAAATCTTCGATGCAAACGATATCCATCTCACGTATCCACTACAAAAAAATATTAAAAAAAAACATATTAAATGCTTTCAGATTACGTGTGTTATCAAAATAAAATTTCATTGAGTGTTGAACTTATGTGTGCAGTTCTTAGCTGGTATGCATGACATAGACGGAACAGACGTCAGCAGTTTGAATGGATGTGAATGGCTCCTGTACCAGTCGAGGTACTCTACAACTGCATGTCCTACCTCTGTAGACGATACTGGCATACAATGACTGAGGCTGATGCACTGCGATTTCGGAAATCTAACCCAACATTTACTAGTCTCGGCACTCGGACGATCTACAAAATACTTGTGCGCATTTTTCCCGCGAAACTGAGTGACCGGTGTGAGCGGCACACGAGGTATATACTGCACGTAATCGAGCTGGCGTAACACTCTCTCTGGCATTTATGGCTCCTAGAAGTCGTGGTACATAATCCACCCATTGAAGATGGTCCTCGGATGTGCGACCACCTGTTCGCGACCGAATGGCTCCCATTCGACCTACAATGTTACCAAAATTTATTATATAGTATAATAAAATACCCCTTACGCAATACTAAGAAATAAAATATAACCACTATCTCTTGCTTAGTCACCGCATCGAGTTGCGCAGGAATCTGCTGGAGTCGACTCTGAATAGGCTTCGGGCCCTTATAGCTAACTGGTGTCCAGTCTCTGGCTCTGGGCCAACCATCAACACCTCGACGTCTCCGTCTCTTCGAGGGCTGGAAGCATGGAAAATACTCATATATCCATACCTGGAGAAGGGTCATACAACTAGCCATCGTGGTACACCCTGGTCGACTAGCAATCTCAAGCTGACGGTGGAGGAATGCTAGTGTACCAGATCCCCAGGAGTAAGCTTCAATATTTTCATCCCTTCCGCGAAGCACTAATCATGCCCCCACTCCTGTCGAGAAAGAGTGTCGAGGCTAACAAGATCCACATCCAAGCTTGAACCTGAACAGCGGGGAGGACCTTGCGACAACTCTCCTCGATCAATATTTTGCTCATACCTCCGTCGCTCCATGCATGCTTTAAGTCAGCCACCAACAACCCAAGCAATCCCGCGACCTGCATCTTCAACATTTCCACTTCCAGAGGTTCGGTCAACAGGTACCTCTCAACTGGAATCGCTAAAATGTGTGCCACATCATGCATCATGATGATCATTTTTTCAAACAGCAAGTGAAAAGAGTTTGTGCCGGACTGCCACCTCTCTATGAATGCAGAAATAAGTGCAAGGTCAATCTCATCATACATGGTATCAATCAAATAATACAAACCGGTATTCTGAATCTTCAAGTACGCGTTCTCCAGCAACTTCGTATACCATTCATGCAATCTAGACAAACTCTTCTTCGCTGGTTTCATCGTCAGGTAATCTATTGGTTCTCCATTCTACAACTGATAAGCAGTGTGGCCAAGAAAATTAAGAATCACTGACCCATCACATGGCCCGCCAGGTACGTCGTTCATCACAACCCAATCATTAATTTCTTCGTTAGAAACCTTAGACCGTCTGCTAATACCTGAAACTGAATAAAGAATAGTTGGTTAATACTTAACTTTAATGCAATAATGAAATTGACGTCCCAGTAATAAATGCTTATATAATTACAAATACGTACCCGATGACGTCGCAGCTGCCTCAGGACGGCTAGAGGGACCAATGGAGGCAGCACCAAAATGGGAACGAGGCTGACTAGTCTGAGAGGGATGGGACAAAGTCCGGTCCGCCAGAACGATGCTGGGGCCGACATCATGAAAAGTACTACTAAGACCTCCAAACAAAATGCCCCCCGAGCCGGTATCATGAAGAGTGGTACTAGGACCTCTAAAAAGAGTACTCTATGGGCCGGCATGATGAAGAGTAGTACTAGGACCTCTAAAAAGAGTACTCTGTGGGCCAGCACGAAAACTGGAACCACCGGGAGTGTAAGCTGAATTCAACCCCGATAATCTAACAAGGGTCTTTCCCCCCTCCCCTCCCCCCGGGTAAGGTGAACTGGAGTATGATCATCAGTACAACCAATGGGGTTCAGTTCTGGGTTATCTCCAAAATGTATATACCTCATCTCATGCGAGAAATACTCGTCTGACTCGTCCTTCTCATCCACATCGTCCCCACTCTCAAAACTATCTTCATCTTGTTCTTCTTCTCCATCAAACTCATCATCATCATATATGTTCACCGACTCACCAGGTGGGGCAAAGATAGGATGTAAATTTTTCTGTTTCTTTAAGTTTTCCTCTTTTTCCCTACGATGTTCAGTATATAGATTGCACTTAATTACATGACGATTACCAGATCCATCAAGAGGTGATATCCCATCCTACAAAAGTTTTAAATTTTACACGTAACTTTAAATAATCCTGATTACATCCCAAAAAAAAAATAGTTTTTATACATACTTAATAAAACCTAAATAATAAATTATTAATTTAGGTGGATTACTTTAATACATTATTATATTATTTAAATACCTAATTATATAAAATTATCTATTATACAATCTTAAATATTTAATTTATTAAATCTAGTAAATACAAGTAATAATAATTCGAAAGATACTTCAATTTATTAAATTATCTACATATTTTATTATTTTATTTTAACCAAAATATAAACTAACTCTCTTTTTTTTGTATTTAAGTCATCCTTATTTATTTAATTTTCACATACTAAATATTTAATCTTTACGTATCACATATTTTTTGAGGCTAATTATAATTATACTGTCTAATCCTACAAACAAATTTTCAATAATTAAATTAATTGTAATAACTTTCATAATTCCCCAAATTAATTTTAAAAAATTAAAGCTCCCAAAAACTACTAATGAATTCCTAAATATGAATATTATTAATAAATTATTTACTTAAGATTAAACATATTAATAAAAATGTTTCCTAAATAAATTAAACTAATAAAAACAAATTCCTAAGAGTTATAATTACTAATAATAACAATAAATTAAAATTACTAATATTTACTCTACAAAATAAATAATAATTAAATTAAAATAAAATATTACAAAAAAATACTAAAAAAAAAAGTAAACATACCCGACGCCGGCACAGACCGGCGCCGGGTAATCTCGCCAGGCGCCCAGTGCCTGGCGAGATATTTCTAGCCCCACCCCCAGAGGGTGGCGAAGATCCCTCGCCTCGGCCGGCGAGAAAACTATCGCCGGGGCAAGAAGAGCCGGCGCGGATCTCTTGCGCCGGCTCTTCTTGTCCCAGCGAGATTCTCCATCGCCGGTCGGGATAGTGTTTTTTTTTAATAAACATAAACCTCAGATTTGAATTTAGAACTCAAATTTGAACGTATTTTGAGTTTTCGTAGCCGTTTCATTCGTTCCGCTATTGAATCTGAGTTTTTTGGATTTAGGAATAAGAGAATTTGAAACGAAAGATTGATTTATGAATTAAAAGTAAGAATTTATAAAATTTGATAGGGGTAAAATAGTCTTTTAGTATTAAATTAGAGCGCTCAAAGGAAAGATTTAGGGCGCCTAACAGTACTCCAGTTTCTAAATGCAGATTCGTAATTAAAAGAGTCAATTAGTAATGCACATCAATCAATCAATCATCAGTTATCATAAGTTATACAGTTAATCTAGACAATTTATTAGTATTTCATTCAGACTCAATTCAATGCCGCCATAGATAGTTAGTTTTGATTGGGTCATCATCATCTCCGGCAGGGAATTCTTCGAACCAGAGAGTAGCCATTGATGAGCATCTGTACTGGGTTTTCAATCCATTCTTTTTCAGATTCCTAATTCTTGGGTTCTATACAAATTTGGAACTTTGCTTGAGTTCAAAGGCCCAAATTGAAGCTCATGAAAAATTCAAAGCCGGAATTTCATTATTTTCCCCCGAAAAATTTCAAATTTTGGCGGCAAAGCACATTTGTCTACCGCATCCAACGAGAAATGCCAATATGAATTGCAAATGAAAAAATGACTAGTAGTATCTGGTTTCAAATTTCAACTAAAATAAAAAAATCCTCATTAGATCACAATTTGAACGAATCAACCGTTTGTCATTTCTGCCCAAAAATGAAACTAAAAGTAAATAAAAAGTTGTTGTAACTTGTAAGAAATCAAATTTAAGATATATTCTCAACGTAATCATGTTAAGTACTCTTATAAAAATATATGCCTACGTAATATTTTATGATTATTTGAGGATGAGATCTGGGCAAGCCAAAAAAAAGAAGGTAACAGAATATATCTTAGGCATTACCTTGGCATGTAGAACTCTAACTTCATTGATTAATTAAGGAGACGTTTGTTTTGTCAGGAAAAGGATTTGGATTGGTTCAAATTCTTACGGATTCATGAATCTAATTTTGCTGTTTGGTTTAAGATAAGGATTGGTTTTGATTATAATTTTTTAATATAAACTAAGATCAAATTTCTTATTAAAATAATAAAAAATCTTTTTTTTTTCCTTATTTCCCTTTCTTCCTCGCTTCCCACGTCTTCCTCCCTTCCCTCGCCTGCTCCTCCTTTCGGCAATTTATCTAGTATACCCGGGAGTATCGTGCCCCCCCTCTTATTTTTTACATTTCTAGTACTTATTGTACTTTTTTATCAATCTTTCGATATTTTACAAGTTTAGTCACTATCATTTTTTCTCTCTCTTCCAAAAAAAACATTTCTAATCTTTCAACGAGCATATCTCTCAATCCGTGAAAAATTTGTGAACGAATTATATATGAAATTTATAGTACTCGTCGAGATCTATACAAAAAATCCATAGTGAATATTTTTTCGGGCCTAAAAATGACTTAATTCTGATGGGCAGAATAGAGGTGGATATCCAGTTTTACAAGATGGATAACCAACTTGTTCTAAATTGGTTATCCATTGTATTCATGCTGATTATCCAATCAGTTTAAACTGGTTATCCATTTTGTTTGTACTGCTTATCCATTTGGTTTGGATGTCTATCCAACTTGTTTGAATGGATATCCCACTTGTTTGAAATGGATATCCAACTTATTTGTACTGGATATCCATCCATTTGGTTTATATGCTTATTCAACTTGTTTTGTAGTTGTAATCAACGGGTTCGTATACATATCCGACTTATTTGTGCTGGATATCCAACTTGCTTGTACTAGATATCCATCCACATCATATTGATTATCCAACTTCTTAATTCAAAATAAGTTGGTTATCCATCATCTTAAACTGGATATCCACTGTGTTCATATTGATTATCCAATGCGCTAATACTGGTTATCTAATTGATTTGCATGCTTATCCAAATTGTTTGTACTGATTATTCACCGTGTTCATTTTGATTATCCAACTTGTTTGTACTGGATATCCATCCATTTGGTTTGTATGCATATCCAACTCGTGCGTACGGGTTATCCAACGGATTTACATGCTTATCCAAATTGTTTGAACTGGTTATCCACTGTGTTCATTCTGATTATCCAACTACCGGTTATCCATTGTGTTCATGCCGATTATCCAATCAGTTTGAACTGGTTATCCATTTTGTTTGTACTGCTTATCCATTCTTGGTTTGTGTGTCTATCCAACTTGTGTGTACTGATTATCCAACAGATTTACATGGCTATCCAAACTGTTAGTATTGGTTATCCAATCATTTATTTTTGTTTGGAAAAAACTCATTGTCATATGCGCTAATACTGGTTATCCAAAGGATTTACATGCTTATCCAAATTGTTTGTACTGGTTATCCACTGGGTTCATGGTGATTATCCAACTTGTTTGTACTGGATATCCATCCATTTGGTTTGTATGTATATCCAACTCGTGCGTACTGGTTATCCGACGGATTTACATATTTATCCAAATTATTTCAACTGGTTATCCACTGTGTTCATTCTGATTATCCAAGTTGTTTGTACTGGATATCCAACTTGTTTGTACTGGATATCCATCCATTTGGTTTGTATGCCAATCCAACTCGTGCGTACTGGTTATCCAACGGATTTACATGCTTATCCAAATTGTTTTGAACTGGTTATCCACTGTGTTCATTCTGATTATCCAACTTGTTTGTACTGGATATCCAACTTAATTCTGTCCTAAGAAATTTGATCATTTTTAACTTGGAAAAAAATATTGGATATGGATCTTGTTGAATAGATCTCAACGAGTATAATAATTTTCATGCATAACACGTTCTCTAATTCTTTACGGATTATGAGATATGGTCATTTAAAGATTAGAGATATTTTTTAAAGGAGAGAAAAAAAAAGAAGTCACAGGGACTAAACTTACGAATCATAAAAAGATTGATGAAAAATATAATAAGGACTCCTTGTGCAAAAACAGGAGGGGGGCACGGTGCCCCCAGATATACTGGATACAGACTCATCATTTCCACAGTGTCAACCACCACTTCTCCGGTAAGAACCACCACCACCTACCACCTCTTTTAATTTTTGAAATAAAAAATTGTAAATTTTCAGTTCTATCCTTCTTCCTCTTCCTCCTCTCCCTGCTTTCTTCCTTCCATGGCCACTGCCCGCCCCACCAGTTATCCAGCAACCACAATCACCATCTTTTATGTTCTTTTATTAACCTCCATGTTCTCTGTCCAATACAAATCATCACCACAATCAGCAGCACCACAATTTTCGCTGCCCATCTCAATTGTTTCATAATTTTTTTAAAAAAATCACTTTCTATCTTTCTGAAAAAGGAAAAGAACTCTTAAAATAAAAAAAATCATAATTTCGAATCTGAATCTATGGACGGATTATCAAGCCCTGATTTATTCAACCAAGAAAAATAAACAAATAATAACTAATCCAAAGACTATATAATTCGTCGATGGAGGCTTGAGATCTGAAATCTAAACACTAATCCATCAAAAGGCAGAATCCGTCGAATCCCAATGGGAAGGGTTGGATCGGACTATAAGGACTATTAAGAAGATGGTGGTGGCTATGACTCTAACGGCTGAGGTGACGGCGGTAACTTTGGAGCTTGCAACTGGCGGTAAGATTACGGCAAAAAGAGATTGGGCTTAGACATAGAAGACGAAGGGGGGAAGAAGGAAAGAAAAAGAAGAAAATTTTATAAGATCTAAAAATAATTTAAAAAATCAGGAGAAGATTGATAATTGGATTTAACTTGAATCATGGGGTGGGAGGGGTGATTTATTCTTTTGGATTCAGCCCATTCCATCGAATCCAATTCCAGACAACCAAACAATTGAAACGGTTTTGAATCCGTTTCCTGAATCCGATTCCAAGGAAACAAATGGCTCCTAAGAATGCAGAGTTTTCTTTTAATATAGGTGAGAAGTAAATATTTTTCCCTTTTTTTTTTGTTTAACCATAGGCAACAATTCATTGTACTGAAAGTCCTTTCTGGTTGTTTTTACACTAGGTGGTTCAAGCTTATATTACTTTCCATTAACTGACTGTAAACTTAGTTGGTGGGTTTCTCTTTTAGAGAAAAGGAAAACTTTGTACTCCTTCCATCCCAAAATTATTATGCGGTTTAAATTTTAAGTTTTAGTTTAAATTATATTAAAAATGAAAATTCATACTGGACAATAATTATAGGACAGAGGGAATATTGTTTATAAGGAGGGACAAAAGTTATCAAAATGGATACTGTTTTCTTTAAATGATGAAAAAGACCAATGATATCAGTCTTTTCTTTCATGCTATTGGAGAAACAAACATTTGGTGGAGCCTTTAAATGGTCAAATTCAAAGGTTTTGCACTTTGAAATTTGAATTAAAAAATAAGTGTTGGGAGTGGCGGAAAAAATAAAAAAATAGATTTTGCCCAAGAGGGAAATTGTCTGCACCCAAATTATAAATAATCCTTATATGCCCCCTCGGAACCCAAAACCCTAATCCCTTCCGCCGTTTCCTTCTCAATAACTCTGCCGCCCTTACATCCACAGTTATGTAGATTTTTTTTTTCTTTTTTCATTGATGGAGCTTCAAAGCTCATTTTTCTCTGCACCAATTGCCATGACTCTGGTGAGTTTTATTATCCCTTCTGCTATGGTCTGTCTTAATTTTTTTTGGGTTTAATCTAAGTGTGAAGTTGATTAGATTTATTGTTAGATTTGCAATCTTTTTTTGTGTTTCTTTTAAGTTTTGTTTTAGATGTATCAATCAATTTTGAATTTCTGTGCATTTCCTAGATCTGTTTTTCTGTGTATCTGTGCAACTTGAATGGGCATCTCATTTTACATTTTTGTTGTCAATGTTTGATTTAAGTGACGTCACTGAGGATATCAGATATAATTGGAATGATACTGATGGATTTATTTTCCATTTTTGGTGTCACACACAATAGATCTGAAAAGTTAATTGACTCACACATCTTTGTTGTTTTTTTTTTTTTTGGTGTGGTTTTGATGAGGTATTTCAACTGTCCAATGCAGTATATGTTTAAAGTTTTAAAGTACGTTATTTGGTGAGATTTGGTATATTTGTAGCTACATTCTTACTTTATCTGTTGGTACCAGGTGCGTGCAGCAGTAGATTTCGTGCCTCCACAAGTACGGAAAGACATGATGTTTCAGACAGAGGAAGATTCAAAAGTACATATGTTTGATTTTTGGAGGACTAATCAGTTTGGTCTTGTTAAATTTTCCGCTCCTTCAGTAGCAGATGAAGATGTAAGATTCAAGAGCATTACAAGATTCATGAAGGTTGAGCACAAGAAACTAGGAACCTATTGGTATGGGGGTTCATTTCTGGATTTGGTAAGACAACTTATTGCGATGGAATTTAGGATTTTTTCACTTGCAGGATCAGTTCAGCTTGTAACTGATTTTAATTATCACATGATGGCCACAATATCTGGGGGAATATCGTGGTTTGGCGATTGGTGCTGAGTAATTTGAAAAAGAAGTGTCTATATGGTTGACACTTTATTTTTTCGCAGTAAAATTGCACTAATTGCTGGGTGGGATATGAAATTAGTTACTGAAGTTGAACTGATCGCTGTGTGGAACAAGAAATCCGATATAAAGGTAGACTGATCACTGGATGGGACAGACTAAATAAGTTTTACGTTATATAAGGATTCTGATTAAAGGGAAAAAATTGATTACAAAACTCTCGTTAATGATTTGTATGATATATAAGTATATTATTTTTTATTTTACTCTTTAAAGACGAGATTTTAGCATTATTAGATAGAAAATTTTTCTATCAAAATTGTTGTCATTATTAGAGATCATTATTGTAGCTGGGAGTTCCTATTTTGTAAACAAGAAAAATTATAACGTTGCATTTTTTCACTTTTTTGTTTTTTTCTTTTTCTTTTTTCGTTTTTGAAAACTTTGGCATTTTACTAACATACTGGAAGTAACAACATGGTAATTGGATTGATGGTGCAATGTATTTAAAAATAAATAAAAAATACAAAAAGTAAATTTGGCAATTTCATCATGTCTCCATCTCTATTAGGAGAACTTTAGATCCAAGCTGAAAATTAGTTGGTTTCACTTCCAACTCAAAAGTAAGAGATTAAGGGTATGGTATTTTGGTGTAAAAATTATACTTCAACAAAGACACTAAATTATTGTTCTATTTTGGTGTAATGAATAGTGTTACACCAGATTTGGTGTAAATTGTCCATTACACTATTTTTTTACTTTGATCTAAATATATGTTTAATATGTAATTGAACTTGTAAAACGAATTATGTTGTGAAAATTATATATCATACTAAATATTTTTTCGAGATCTTCAAAATAAGATCCATATTGAATATAAAATTTATTTTTTAAAAAATTAATTTGTAGTTATTATTAAAATTGAATATGAAATAAAATTGAAAAAAAAATGATACTACTACAATCAAATAAAGAGAGATTATAAGAAACAAATTTCATAAAATTATCAACAAATTACAAGATTTTAATTTACCACAAAAATAAAATTGAACCTAAAACATTAATATTTAAACCATTTGGTGCATCAAGGTTGGAGAGTAAATAACTTTGGTGCAAAAAAAAATCTTGGAATATTCTATTTTTTACACTAAATTCGACGCAAATTATAATGGAATGGTTGGAGATGCACTAAGAGTCTATTTTCATTTAATTTGTGCTATCTTTTTCTTTCACTTTATCCGTGTTTTTCAGAAATAATTGATTACTGTATTATGAAAAAGTTTGAAGTATTAATAATGTCCTAACGGGCCACCATATGAAATGTGGAGGCCCATAAGAACCTATTTCATATAATTCAGAACTTTGCTTGAGTTTCAAGGCCCAGAATGAAATCCATAAAGGACTCAGAGCGGGCACTTTCACTATTTCCGTGAAAATTTTCAATTTTTGGCGGTAAAGCACATTCTCTACGTCATCCAGTGAGAAATGCCAATTATGAAATGCAAATGATAAATGACTTATAGTATCTGATTTCAGAATTCAATTAACTAAAAATCCTCACTAGACTGCAACTTGAATGAATCAAGTATTTGTCATTTCTCCCCAAAAATTAAACTAAAATTAATAAGGTTATGATTTATAAGTATCAAATTTACAATACTCTCAACGTATGATGTTAACTACTCTTATAAAAATATGTCAAACGTAATATTTTACGAAAATTTGAGGATGACATCTGGGCCACCACAATTTAGCATTCTGTTGCCTTATCATCTATTTTTTGGTAAGGCCTTCGACATGTAGAACTCCAACTTCATTGATTAAGAATGGAGAGTTTTCTTCATTGATTAGGTCCATTAACTCAGTTTAATTCAATATTCATGCTATTTCTATGTAATATTTTCTTCATAGATGATGACTTGCACATGATCACACAATTTGCAAATTAGATCTCTAGATTAGCTCAGGGCAGACCAACGTATATCCTGCTGTGTACTCCATCCGTCCCGACATCATTGTTCAGTTTGAATTTTTAGTTTTATTATAATTTATACTAAAAATGAAAATCCAAACTAGACAATAATTTTAAGACGGAAGAAATATTTTTAGTTTTATTATAATTTATACTAAAAATAAAAATCCAAACTAGATAATAATTTTAGGACGGAAGAAATAGTATACCACCAGCTATTAAGTCTGAATCTGTGAAAAGGACTTACGTAAATTCTGACATAGTACACGGCACATATTATCTTTAGTTCAATAAATTGAACTATATTTTTCAATAAACTAAATTAACTTTTTGTTCTGGCACTAAAGGGTTGCTAATTTGATTATCTCCCCCTAAAGAAGCAAGAGTTCCCCTAAAAGGAAACTCATGACCCCAGAATTTAACCCACAGTTTCCAATTGACACTGGGTTCTGGGTCTCAAGAGAACTTAGTGGATTGGCGCTGAAGATTGAGCCCCAAATATCCCAAGATCCGCCAATTTGCTCACAGGCAAGATTTTTTTTTAAAATTTGCGTTTTTCTTTTCGATGCTTGTCCCGATTTGATTAAATCTTTATCCTCAGGATGTTTATAGTTGTAGTATTGTTAGGTTCTTCTTCTCCGTGGTACTAATCGGGAATGAGGGTGTTGTTAGTGTTTATGAGAGCTTCCTTTTTGATAGTTTAAAATGAGCTTACACCTAATAGTAGTTGCAAAGTCTGATCTTCTAATGGCCCCGGAGGTGAAATGGGGTCTGGCTGAAAGTTGAAAAAAGGGTGGATTGTGTTTATTATTATCCTTGTTGCTGTCCGAATCTGAACTGTGCTCTACAATGTCTAATTCCAATGCGTCATCTAATGCTTTACTGTGCTGGTAATCAATGAAATTGGTGGACTTTCTGGCGAATCTTTGGTTCTACACGAACTGTAACCGTTATAATATGCTGGTTGATGCAAGGGCGAACAAAATTGTTACCAGTCGTAATGAATGCAGTCGTAATAATATGTTGGTTGATACGAAACAATTTCCCTTTGTCGCGGTTTATGGAAACTGAGGATTTTTGCTGTAAATAGTAATTGATATGTTATCATGTACCGAATCATTAGTTTCTAAACTTATCGAAACTGCAAGTTCTTTAGATGTAAATAGCAAACTGTTTCTTTTTCTGTAATAGAAAATATGGTATGTGAGAAAGTATTTGATCATGGGATGTGGAACAAACCCATGAAACTGTCTGTAAAATGGATTACCACACCACATGCCCTTGGGCAGGGTTCTTCAAAAGGCATGCACTGATCTCCATGGTTGCAGCTGTTTGTTTTAAGTTTTCAGAGGTAAATAGAGACTTTACCTGTACTTCTCCCCTAAACTAAGAACAGGGAAATATAGGTATGAGAACTGTCAAATTTTTGGGGTTTAGGGTGAAAACAGATGAAGCTGTGGGAGTGACAGTGGAGACCATGCACGTAGGGTAGAATTCTTTGAAAAAAGTAGTAGAGACTTGGGACCTTTCTCACTGAGACAAAACTCTGCACTGCATACCTGGTCGTTGGCCTTAACAAATCACTCTAAGCTTTTCGTCTCTTTTTTATTTTATGGGTTCCCTTAAGCGAAGCTCATCATTGGTCTATACGTAGTCATAGTTTCCTCTGCAGTTCTTAAATATTCAGGTTTTCCTTTCTGACAGGATAAACCATTTACCATATCTAGTTTGAGTAATTTGTTCCATGATCACATTGAAAAACACATCACCTTAACCATTGGTGTTACAATTGCCTTCTTTGAACAAACATTGCATGTAATGCATACAGATTGCCTTGATGAAAATCTGCCATAAACAGATTGTCACTTTTTGATGATGCCTTTTTCATTCTGAATCATCCTCTTGTTTTAGGACCCAAAGAGAAGATAATGAATGGAGGACTGCTTTGGATTATTTTGTAGTTATAGCTATACTTTCTTCGTTCCACTTCTCACTTTCTGTCATCTCAAGTTTATTTTCTTGTCACCCCCTTCATGAGATCTTTCTCCCTGTTTATATAGTTGTGTTAAAGGAATACTGCTTTGACTGTTTTTGTTTTCATTGCCCTTATGCATGGATGTTATTTGAATGAGCATAACTGTTGTTAAGGAATTTCTGATGCACCTTGCACTTGCTGCGTTGATCAGGAGCTGTATACTGCTTTTTTCTTGTTTTATTTATTTCTATCTTGCTATCTAACCAAATATGACTTGTTCACTTCTTGATGTGCTTAAGCATTTCCTGAATGAAGTTTTTATGAAATTATTTGTTCTTTGTATCCCTGAAACGGTTTTAGTTATTTGTTCCCTTTACGCTGGTTTTTTTGAAAAAGGTCCCTTTACGCTGTTGGACCTGTAGATTTGAAAGGTTGTTTGGATATTGTTTGTATTCAAAATACCTGGTCGTACATGTGTTTCTTACCAGGTTTCAAGAGTGGAGCCATTTCGTTAGTTTTAATCTTTCTGAATTCCTTTGAGAAACATATTAAGATAATCAACCGTGCACAATCAATTTCCGGCGAAGTTTGAGAACAATTTGATAGCTGTGGATGAAAAAACACCCCCATAGGGCTTGTGGGGACATCATAGTTCTTGCATTCTTACATCATAGACTATTACAAGTTAGATTTAATGTTTTTGTTTGCCACAATCCAGTTGTGTCAACCGACAACTGTTACAAATGGTCCACTTTAATGAGAACAACAACCAAGAGCTTGTGTTTGTAAATTTTAAATTTGACCGGGGTTTACCATTCATGCCCTGTCCCTCTTTTTCCTTTTGGTAGGGTGATTCTCTGTGATTTCTTATTATTTCATTAACGTTGTTGAAGATCTTAAATATTCTGTTTGTAACCTGATTTGTTTTGTGAATATACCTCACCCCAAGTAAAGATGCTTCACAACGAATCCTCTCACT